CCCCCCCCCCGGGCTTCCTCCTCCCTTGCATTGATGAAAAGCAAAACAAGAAGAAAGAAAAAACACCCCAGAAGCCCTTGTTGAGTGCCATGATTGAGAAAAAAAGCTAACCCCAAAACCCCAGACCAAATGACGATCATGATCGAAAGCAGCCGCACATTCCTCTTCACGGAATACGCACGCAGCGGCTGCGGAACACTCTCTCAAACCAGCACAGATCCCAAAGTATGGGACAAACTTCCAGTAAGTGGCATTCATTGCCATCATTATGATTATAACCCCACTTCCCCCCAAGCCCACATAGAGCCACTTAGCTGACAAAGAACCCCAGGATAAATTCTCCTCATACCCAGGTATCAAGGAGCTGCTGCAGCGCGTTAAGGACGATAAGAAGGCGCAGCAGGAGAGAGTGGAGTATTATCATGACCCGAGCATTGGACGGATTAACCATCAAGCTGCTTGAGTTGTTTACTACTCTTGCTATAGGTGGTGGTGGATGGGGTTCTTAAATGAAATGAACTGGAATGAATTCTCGTTTTACGCAAAGAAATTGACACCAGGCGTTTAATTTTGTTTTGGCAAACCTACTTGCTTGTTTGTTTGTGTTTTGTTATGCACTTTGCTCATGCTCATTGAGCCCTTGTATACATCTAGTTCATTGTTTTTGTGGTTATGTTTCCGTATCGTTAAGAAGCAAACTAAATCCAAAAAATAATTATCATATCATAAAAATGATCACATGAAGTAGTAGCAGTATGTTAAAGTACTAAGCAGCAGTTGCTTTTTTGGTTTGGCTTCACTCGCCCGCGGTCTCGACATCCACGAGAGCATCACTCATGATCCTTAGCACCCGCGAAAATTGATGAACGCCAACCCGCCATTTCCCAATGTCCTCCAGTAGACGTGCATAGTCTAATAATATACGCCGTGCCGATTCGTACCCGGAAGGATGAACTACATCATTGAAGCAGATACGCCCTCCATGCTTAATGAAATTATTTGCCGGGTAATCCGTCGCTGCAGGCTCGTCCGTGAGCCCTTCGCTTCCTACGATGCTCCAGTCGACGTCGTCGATGAGGTCGAATCCGGAATTTGCAACGGGATCGTTGTCCGCTATTGGAGCAGCCATGAAGACATACAGACCCAGGACTAGTGCTGCGATGAAAAGTCCGGTAGTGGCATGGAATGGATCTCCATCCGAGGCTCGTCGATTCTGCATCAGCTTAAATGTCTGTGCAGCATGAAGACATGCCCTCCTAGCCGCCGCCGTCTTCGTCCATATCGCAATATCATCTAGCGCATCCCGCGCTGCCTCCGCTCCCGCACACCCAGCGCCAAGCTCAAACAGGCGGAGGTCTGTGGTGAGCATAATACACATATTATGCCAAAGAATCATGCAGTTAGGGTTCATCGTCGCGAGCATGGGCCCATAAGATCGAATAACCTGAACAGCAAGCGATTGCGTTGCTTTGGCACGGCTATCCATTTCGTAGGATTTCCACGGTACAAATGAATGATCCACCGCGCGTCGTTGGCTACCGCTAAGAAGCCGGTGGAAGCTCTCCGATATCCGGAGCCGGATTATGGCCAAGATGCCAACCATCCCGTGAACATCCAATGTGCCGTGCAGCTCCGGCAATGTGATGCCGTCCGCCGAGAGAGTAATCATAGGCATACACATACGACTACCTCGAGATATTAACTGCTCCCACTTTGTCGCTGAAGTGGCTTGGAATAATGCTGTATCACATGGCAAGACTAGCTGGATATCGTCGGTCCGCGTAATCGGGCTGATGTGATACATTGCAGAATACCAAGTGTCAACCATTGTGAGGCACACGATTAATCTAGAAACCGTGAGTTGAGGTCACATTTATTTTGATCAGAGTTAACCCACCTTTTAATACATTCAACTCGGCTCCATGCCTTCCATCTGGAATCAAGGTCCGAGAATTTGTTAAACAATTCGTCGTTGAGAGGTGGCGAGTCTCGTGTTGTAAAGAGGCCGTGTCTTTGGGCGGTCTAGAACCAAAAGTTAGACTTGAAGCTTGAATTTGGAGACGAGCATCGTACCGTGATCACATTTGTATAGAGCATTTGACATTGCTCATGATGAGTTCGTTCCTATAATGAAATGAGTATAAGGCAGCCAAAGATTATTAGATGTACATACCCCAGTCATCTCAGATAAGTTAAGTATCAGGATAGCGCTTGCTAAAGACGACATCTGATCGATGCGTCTCGAGTCTCTAGGGGGTGACATGAGGTCCGTGCACACCTTTTCAAGTGCCCTCTATATCATCGTTAGCGTGGGACAGAAACTACGGAGAATCTCCAACAAGCAGGGTGGAAAATGGGGTGGCTCCATACCGGAAAAGCTTGCCGAACAAAAGCCGTTGCTCCTTTGGTCTCAAGTATTGTGAGTCCAATTAAGCACATGACGAGAAGCATAGAGCTAGGGGTAGTTTGGGGACAAAACGTGGGCGGGTGGATGAATGGCATGAGTGGGTGAAATTGTCGGAAAAACAAATCTAAGCTTATGTCGAAGATCTCGGCCGGGGGGAAATTAGGTATATTAGGCGTCTCGTCACTGAGGTTGGGAACTGGTGCGATAGATGATTTATCGGAGGGGGAGGAGTGCGTAAATGGCGAATCGCTTTCGGAGCCGTGGCTGGATTGTCGCCGGCTGAGATCGACAAACATCTTTTGGAGTCGGCCTCGACAGTCCTCGTCTAATCCCCACCGCGATCCGTACTGTCGATTATGTTCAATAGCTTCTGGGGTGAGGTTGTCCTTGGAGAATAAATTGTCCTCCGGTTTCGATATCGCGTCCCGCCATAAAGTTGGCATCAGACGAACGGCATTGTTAGGCCGGCTGGGCCAGCACCGCTCTACTTTGTGGAATCGTTCAGTTGGGATGATGGTGCTGACCGATCCGGGGCTTTTCGAATTCTCGGCTTGGGGAGACTCTTCGGCTGCTAGTCTACCGCCCACAGACGCATTGTCCGGGGGACTGATACTCGGCATACCATCTCCCGTCTGGTGGTTGTCCATATCAAACTGGTCAAACCAATTCAGCAGGTCGTGAGGCATCATTGTGCCATTCGGGGTCACCCCGCCCATCCCAGGTGATATTTGATCCTGCAAGGCGCTGAGCCGCCCCGAATAGAGGTCATTCCCAAAATCTATGCCAGCATGTGGGTGTGAAGCTGCACTCATCATTTGAAAGTCGGGATCGGCGGGGGTCGGGCCTTGCTGGTAGCCAATGACGCTGCCAAACTCCTGGCTGTGCGATGGCGGCTCATGGCCCCAATTCTGGGATTCATTTGGAGGCGCGATTACCGTGCTGGCAGCATCGGTCATTGCCGTATCAACCTGCACTTGCCCATTTCCCCATGCTTGTTGCGATGCGAGTAGGGCCAGATGATCTAACCCCGACGACATTGCACTCGGATGTGGCGTGCCTTGTTCGTGGTATTCCCCCGCCGGCCCTAGCAATGCTGGATCAATCCTCGAGGGAGACATCGGTCGTGGCTGAAGCTCCGGGACGTGTGATGGCCCTCCGTTTGCGTCATTCATGGGAGTGGCCACGGCAACGTTGCCCGCAACACTACTTGTGCTAGGTCTCCTCCGGTGGCTGTTTGCTTGTCCCTGGTCTCCATCAGACGAGCTCTGCTCGACCTCGTCACCCGCAATCTGCGGATGGTTCTTTAGGTGTCGGATTAGGACATCACTGGGACATTATTCAGTCAGCAACAGGTATTTCACACAGGAGGCGGTGATGTCGCTTGTTAAATGATTGGGGGGTGGAGAAATAAATCAATGCTCACCTTCGGGAAAAGCACTTCTGGCAGCGCGAGCACCTGTAGGGCCTCTCGCCGGTATCTGAAGTAGAATATATGTCAGCGATGGATTACTAGACTGTTGCCGGGTAGAGCAAGAACATAACATCAAGGGCACGCGGGGAGAGCTGCTTATTTGGACTTTACATACGAGATCGCTGGTGGCGCTTCAGGTGCTCGGCCTTGGAGAACCGGCGCTCGCAGTAGAGGCATTTCTTGGGGAGGATGCCACGATGTTGATGCTGGTGCTGATGCTGCTCGGGCTGCGGTTTGCGCTCCTGCTTCAGCTCCTGGGGTTGGTCTGCGGTGATGGGCATAATTTCGAATTGTATTGTTGAAGCAGTGTGGGGCCTGTCTCTTATACACATCTAGATGTGTATAAGAGACAGGTTGAAGCAGTGTGGGGCCGGTTGTTGGATTGGGGGGGGGGGTTGTTTAGGTTGTTTGAAATCTGGGGTTATCGGCGGGCAGCTGTTCGTCTCCTCCCCCAATTGCCCATCATAAGGGGCGCGCAACAAAGTTTGAGTGTTATCTGGAGGGCGGATGGGAGGGCAAGCGACGGCGGACGAAGGGGGCAATTACTTGGTGGTGGTGGAGTTGGTGATGTTGGTGTTGTTGTTGGTTCAGCAGCAACGGGGACTGTGACTGTAACGGCGATAGTTGGTGGTTGGCAGTTGTTACGCACCACGAGGTCGAGGTGGAGATGAAGCTAACGGTGGAGGCGGACGAGGGCCTGGATCGTGGCGGTTGAGAGTGAGAGTGGGAGTGGGAGTAGGAGTGGAAGGTGGAGCAGGAGGAGGGCGACGGAGAGAGAGAGAGCAGATATGAGGTTGTATTGGCAATTGTGGTGGTGGTGATAATGGCAGTGGTGATAATAAAAGGCAGCACCGTACCGTAGCAGGATCGGCAGTACGAAGTTATCGGTAGTAGTGGCTCGACCCAAGTGGAGCAGATCAACTGGCCTCGGAGGCGTGGAATTGGGAGTCGATGTGCACACTGTGCACTACGGCTACGTGCCCAGCTGGTACAGTAATGGGAGTTGAGGAATGTGGTGTGTGGTGTGTGGTATTTGGTAATTGGAAATTGGTAATTGGAGTGCAATAATAATAGCGATAGTACGAAGTACTGTCGTAGTGCTACAGTAATGGTGCTAGAGCCATACAACAACACCCAGCAGCCAGCAGCAAGCAGCAAGCACTGGGCACTGGGCACTCCTGGGTATTTCGGGGGGGGGTGGAAGGGGGACGACAGTCGGCTGCGGAGACGGAGAAGCGGCGGAGGCGACAGCGAAGAACGAAGACGGGGGCAAACTCGGGGGCCGGGAGCCGGGGACAGATTTGCTGGGAGCAGAGGCGATCGCAGATGTCGTAGTATCGTAAGTAATATCGTAAATATCGTAAATATCGGACTTTCGTCGAGAAGCTGCTGGGTGTATGCTGGGGAGAGAGCCCTGGAGGGGGGGGGGAGGCTTGTGCAACGTAGGGAGTAGGGACTCGAGAGTCTGCGTCTGTACTACTTACTTAGTAAGTACTGTACGTACAGAGTAGAGTAGCACCACTAAGTAGAAGAAAGTAGGGGCTCTGTGTTAGGGGGGGGCATGTTAGGGCTCGAGGGTCTTGGTT